TGTTCCTCCAGCCTTACGCCTTACCGCTTCTCTCATCCTCCCCGGGTTTGGGGCTGGATTGCTTCTTGCAGAAGTTGCGGGGGAGAGGAGGGACGCCGTGACCAGCGCAAAGCTCCTCGTCTTTTTGTGCCTAGTAGCATTAGGGCAGCTTGGCTTAATGTGCTTTCTTGAAGAAATAACGATGATCAAACTGGTCGTCTGCTGTACGGTTTCTAGGGTTGACGACAGTCCTTGATCTTAAAAAAAGTTTGGGTGTCGTGGATGTGTAAATGGCATCTCGCAATCTAACTTCTTATTTTTCCATGCCTCAAGAAGAAACTCAGTGGGGGGAGGGAGAGTTAAAAAAATTACAGCACTTTCACTGAGGTGCAAATGCTAGATTGTTCTTCTGTCAGAAAGCAGCACATCTAAACCTGCACGTTTAAAGCTAGTATCTAAATTCATGTCTGGGTTCCTGAGTTAGTGGTAGACAGGCTTAAATGCTGGGTGCCCGGGCGTGTTTTGTAGTCAGTGAGAAATGCAAGTGTCCATCAGGTGCAACTACCAAGCTTAGCCAATTTTGACATAATGTGCACTATTCCCTAATTTGCACTGCATATGTCATTTGAAACAACCTTTCTGTGGCAGCTTCACAACTGCATATTCTTCAGAAGCAGGTCCCCCAAACTGCTTAGTGTAAGGCTCTAAAATTGTCGCCTTTATGTGACACCTCTAAGCTGATAATCCATGAGAAAGTTTGAGGCTAGGAGCCCACCTAGTAGTCCACTGCCTGCAGGATTTGGGAACTATTGCCGAAGGGTTCTGATGACTTCCTCATATCACAAGAGGAACGTTGGCTGTTGACAGTGGAAATATCATCTGTAGTAAGCAGTCAGGTTCCCTTTAGTGAGATAGCAGCCAGCAACCCCTTCTACTAAAGCAGTCAGATTTGCAGAGGACAAAACCCGCAAATATTTGTCTGTCTGCTTCTGTCGGTGTCTGTCTGCAGCCTGCTCGTTATTTCCCCAGCACTCTGCTGGTGGAGCAGTTCACATGAGTACTTCTTCATTGGCTTCAGGCAAAATATGCCAGCTCTCGTAGACTACACAGCAGCAACCCGGTGGAATCAGTAATTTACAGCTCCCTGCCATTCCGTGCTAATACTAGTGAGAAAATCGTGATCAATTTGTTTTAATTCCTTCAAGATGGTTGTTTTTTATTCACTTTGGTAAATATTTGGGAGCGTAGTTGCTTCCTTTAGTTGAAAATCACCTTTCACAGTGGTGGAGCCAGCAGAGAATAAATTCTTCCTACAAAGTGTAAATGTGCTTGCTCTAAAGGAGGAAAAAAAAAAAGAAAAACAAAACACAAAACCCAACAACCCCACACTCAGAAGCCTTTTATCATGAGGTAGTGTTAAAATAAAACAGATGTGAAAATTATTTCAGGAAGAACCACTGAAGCATTACAGCTTTTAATTGTGTGCATTTATTTTTCATTAGTGTGTAGTTTGGGGCTTGGGTACAGTTTCCCTTTGCTCTGCTTTTGTTACTTTTATGTTTTGAGGTACAGTTTAAAAATGCAACATAACGAGTAAACCAGAGAATAATTATTTCTTCATTGTTAAGTGCTGTCATGCATAATGCATATTTAGTCAGTTTATTGTAGGCTTTTGATATTCAGTAGTAATCCAATGACTTGTGTGAGAATATTAAATCAATGTTTCAAGGATCAGTGCTTTTGAAATTTGATCTGAGACTTGCTTTGAAAAAAAAGAGCTACTGCAAGTAGTGACACAACTTTTACTGATTTCCTCCCCCCCCTTTTTTTTCCCCGCTTCCCTTTCCCCTCATTGGATTTGGTCATCAAATACATATCACAATTCTGAGCTGGTTTAGACATGTGAATACCAGTAGTTCCTCAGAAGTCACTGGAGCTACTCGTTTGTAAGTCTGTGTGCTTACAGTATTAGGGGTTGTGGTCTTGTTTTACAGTACATATCTTTTCCTGTATTTGGTTTTATCAGGTGGACATAGTCAGGCATTTTGAATGATGAATGCCACTGGGACTTTGGGGAGCAATGGCTATTAGGACAGCTATTAAACTAAGTTACAATTTCACACAAATGAGGAAAAATATGGAAAATTTAGGATTCAAAGCCTTCATATTTTGCAGTCAAGTTAGTTTAATTAACCTCTTTCTTCTGGTTCCTGGTGTGATTTAAATATTGATGGTATAATTTTTGTTATTCTCAAGAACAGATGAATGGGTCTTCATTTCAGATAAAATCTTGGCATAGGATTTAGGTCTTTCTTGAAACAGTGGTCAGTCAGTACTACTGTTTTAGAACTGTGGTGCAATGTGGGAGAGAAGTGATAAAAACCAGCGGTGGTAACATAATCTTGTGTGGTGGTGATTTTTCATTACCTGCATTGAATGCTATTGTTAGTAGCATTAATCACAGCGATTTATAATACAGGACATTTGTTGTTACAAATTCTCCGTTTTCAATTCTATTGTGTATACACTCAAATACTAAGTAAGTAATAATCTTATTTAATATATGGTACTGTGTGCACCTCCTCCATTGGAAGAGAGAGAATTTGCAAGAAACGATCTAAACCTATGGGCATTTGGCTCCACCTTCAGAGATAAGAAGGACCGAATGACAAACCTTTGTTGACTAAGCTGCCTTGCCTGCCTTCTCTCAGAAGTGTAGATTTTTCCCCCCAGTCCTTAACAAGCTGTAAAGGATGCTTGTGTGGAGCTGATGCCTTGACCTCTGTTTTTAGATACCTGTGTGATCAGCAGCAAAAATTTGAACATCAGTGGGACAACCTGTGGTTAATGTTATGTGTATGCTTTGCAGAAACCAGGCCTTAATGCAGTATTTCTGCATATGGCAATTAGGGGAAGTGTTCAAGTAAGTGGCAGCCCAAAGTTTTATTATTTTTTTTTTAATTTATGGTAGGTTATGTTATCTATACATTAAATGGATGTAAGAATGGCTAAGTCCATGTAGAGGGGCTGTGGTAGAATTACAATTATGCCTTTTTTCCTTCTTCCGTTACTCCCTTAAAGCATGGGTTTCTTTTTGTGGTTTCGTGGGAGAGTTTGTTTTGTTTTCCCAAGTCACATGTTGTAATTCTTTTTTTCTTTCTTCTCTTGTATATTAAATAATTCTGAATGTGTCAATTTTCATTTTTCTTTATAGGTTCTGCCCAGTTGATATTTAGCGTGACAGATGTTGTTGAAAGAACTGACTGTAATAAAACTGTCATTTTACCTTGCTATGTGACTAATCTAAAGGAGGACAATGCAGATGTCATGTTTGTTACATGGAAAAAACAAGGAAAAATAATTTTTTCTTTTGATGGAGCAAAACGGCAGTTTTTCAGAGATGCAGCAGTTCCATCAGCTAACTTAGTATCTCAGGCGGATTTACCCAAGGGTATTGCCTCTCTAATGCTTAAGAGTGCAGAAGCAGATGCTGGAAATTACAGTTGTGAAGTAACAGAATCAAACAGAGAAGGAGAAACAAGAGTTGAACTTAGAAACCACTCAGGTGAGTTGCCTGCCATTGTTTTAGAATCTGTTGGGAGAGAAAAAAGAAAAATCTTACGGGAAAGAGAAATATAATGAATATGACGATGTATTACTTTAAATTGAAAATACAAAAAATGTAGCACCCAGGCCTTCTAACCTGAATGCTAATATGAATTATTTTGGATTAAGTTATAGGGGAGTGCTTCTGTGGGAAAGATCTGAACACATTTTTTCATTCTGTAATAATGTCTGAAGATCACTTGTCTAATACAGTGAAATCTATGCTTTCCCACATCTTTTAGATTATATAGTTGGTGAGGTTTTCAGCACGCTCATGTTATTGCATTACATACTGAAACATATTCTGAATATCTTAGTAATACTGAGATGTATACATCCATCATGGTAGCTGCAGAGATCTTTTCTTTGAAGAATTGCATCTTGCAACCTTTAGCTATGCTGGAAAAATTACAGATAGAACTAACATAAATTCTGTATGAGAACTCTAAAACTTGATCTGAAGGTATGCAGTTTTCCAGTGAGGTTGAAAATGCTACTACTAGATGGTAACTTGTTAGGGTTGTCTAGCATTAAACGTCATCTTCAGAAGACAATGTTAAGCTGAAATAATGGTGACTAAGTGATGAATTTCTCATTTAGTGAGCCATTTTACCGTATCTTGTCAGACGCAGCCCATGTGCTCTAGCGCCTCAGCTATTGAATAATGGGATCTGCTGTACATGTGCAGTCTGTCAAGCATTCTGCAGAAGTGACAGTTTCACTGAACATATGTGTGTATTTATCTGTTCTGCACAGGAAACTTGCTTCTTGCTTCTTGAAAGCTTCTCAGAAGCACTGCATATGTTACATATGTGTAGCACATGGAGTCTTACCCGTGCACTGTAGAATTGTCCTAGGATGTTTTTGCTATTAATTTTTGCATTTGTCATTAAAATATTTATGAAGCTCAAACAGATGTTACTTGTGTCCTGCTGCAGACATCTGTGTAATTCACAGTTGGGTCTAATTATTCAGTTAACCATATACCATGCAAAACGTGATCCTGAAATGGATTGAGAGGGGTATAGCCACTGAAAGAGTGAGGATGCTACAAAATCATTCAGTTCTTGGAACACTGCAAAAACAGGGGAAGAGGTATAGGCAGTTTCCTTCCTTCTTTTATAACTTCTTCCTCACTCAACCTGTTTGGACTGCCATTCAGTGTTAAGCTCTAGAAGAGGAAACAAGGCTTGAGGATGTGGTAGAATCAAGTCCCGTTTGCAAGTTTTATTGTTTTATTTTTTACTTTTCTGTGCTTAGAATTTTGAAGGTATAAAGACTACAAAGCAGGAAACTGATGTAATTTTTTCTAATTTCATTTTCTAGTTGTCAGTTGCGGCGAGGAAAATACCCCAACACCAAAGGAAAAACTTGGTTGGTGAAGAATTCGTAGTTGCGAGGTCACATTAGGTTTGAGAGCTAGAAAATGTAAAACTTAGTCTTATGTTTGAGGGTTTAGCTGAAGGTAAATGAGTCGCTTGTTCTCTCTTTAAATGCTTCTGCATAATTTTTGTTGTTTGTTCCTCAGTGTTCTAGAGAGACTCTTGAGATAATAAGCTAATAGAAGAAACTGTAGCAAGTGAGTTTTGAAAAGGGTCAGTGAATAATGGAAATCCTGTACCAGTCTTCACACTGTCATTTCTGAGCAATGAATTCATGCTGTCGCTAATATGTTGCAATTGATGCTTTTACAAAGATAGTCTTATAACAGCCAGCTATTCTCCATCTTTACAGAATTCTTGGATTCACTTAGGAAGTGGGTAGCAGAGTGAGCAAGACTTATATGCTAGTACCCTTGCCTTTGGGCACACGCTTTCCTGATCAGTTATCTTCACAGGAGAGTGACCGTA